TTCAAACATTAAAATCAAAACTGAATTAACAATTAATACAAATATAAAACAATATACAGCCAATAAAAAATTAAATCAAGAGCGACTGATTAAAACTATTAAAATACTAATTTTTAAAATAACACTTAAATAAAAAGGTTTATTTTTACCTATATTATGCATATATCTTTACATATATACTATCATATGTAATACCCACATATCTAAAAAATTAAGTATATGGCTTCACATAAAATTTGGTGCTTCTGCATAAATGCAAAACAGCGTGCATTTATTTATTTCATTTTTATACTGTCCAATAGCCAAAAGGCTCTCAAGTATGCCCTTGTTTTGTTTACTTTTAGAAAGAGTACCAGCAGGCTCAAAGCTGGAAAAAATACACAATATAGATTTTCAACAAAACTGTTAAGAAGAAATCCCATCCTCAAGTCCATCCTTCATACTTACCCTCATCACCCATCACCTGCTCTAAACTGTCTTATAAAGTATTTCACTGTACATCAAGAAAGTGCTATCTGTTCCAGAATCTTTTTGCTTAATCTCTTACATAAAAATAGTTCTAAAATGTTAGACCAGAGTACAAAAATGTCTTCATATAATGTAGTTCTTATGGCAAAAGTAATTTTACTATTATAATACACCATTAAATATTTTCGTCATATTTTAGTAAACTGATACAGGTTGTAGAAACATTATGTTTATGCCAATGATCCAGAAATGTGTTAATTAACACATAAGAACACTTTTTCCACTGAAAATATGTACATTATTATTCTGTATAGCCATCTAGTAAAGCAAACAAGGCAAAGAAATTTTAAGGAAGTAATTCAAAGGGACATTTTAAGCCATGACTGATTTCCAACTCTGTTCTGCTTGAAGTAGCAAAAAAGAATACATGAGGGAAATGAAGCAGTCAGCCATTCAGAGCTGAATCTAAGGAAGCAGCAGCTCAGAAAGATGAGATCTTTAAAATGTGTAAATTGTTGTGTCCTTCTTCTCCCATCTACCATACCAAGCAATACTGAGGGCATGCTGTCGATAAACTCTGATATTTAGCAAGAGCAACATTTCTAATCCCACTGTAAGCTGGTAGTGTAGCTATCTTTTAAAACAGGGGCATTGCTTGTTTGTTTTTAAAGTAAGCAGCAAATTCAGCTAGGTAACAGCAAAAGTGGTTGTTTCTGTATGACACAGGGAAAGCCCCATTTTTAAAAAAGATCAGAGAATTTGACCATCCAGGTCACCTGTTCCTAAAGTACTGACTTCATCAGATGCAGCTAAAACAGGTTTCTAGCACCATATTCATGCCAAACATTTTTGAAACCAGGATGTTTCACTGCTCATTTTCCTTCATGCTCGACTTTGGTCAAGATTCTTTCTCAAAGCACACAAAACAATTTCAATCTCCTCTTTCAACAAATTTTGTATTACTTTGTCTATTTATATTTATAAACACAAAACATTAAAATGGACTAAATAGAAACAATATACACCACCAATATGCCTTACTCTTTTCCTGTATGCAAAACATGCCTGCCATCTTGTAACAGCACGCTCAGGTAAGTGAATGCCTTTTAGTTTGGAATAAAGGACTGTGTTCTACATACTTTGGGGCCTTCCTGGGGCCTAAGTATCATATGCTTGAACAGAATTTTTTGAAAATAAATAAATGGAGGAGGACTTAAAGCCACGAAATTATCCAGTAATCACATGTGAGCTGTCAGGATTTACTAAGCATTGGTGGCAGTTCAGCCCACAGCGTCAGGGTGGGGGAAGCCAAGTCTCAGAGGACCACAAATTTGTGGAAGTGGCTTTCAAGAGGAGGCAGCAGGGTTGGAAAATTGCATCAGAAAAGCAAGTTGATAAGGAGACAGGCATGCCCAAACTATGGAGGCAGGCCTATCTGAGACCCAAGCTATTTATAGCCTTAAAAGATCAAACCCAGCACATGAAATTGATCCAGCATTACACAGTATTTCAATAATGGAACCATGAGCAATGTTAATTAATGAAGAGGAGGTAAAGAGGCAAACGGCTTGCTCAGCCTCTCAACTAATTATAGTGAGTATCCTGGAAGGTAGCTATTAAGGTTGCAGGGTTGTGTTAGCTCCCTACTATGTAAGGAGTAAAGCAGTAAGACTCCAGGATGGACGCCCTCTAGCACAAGAGGTGGTAAAATTAAACATGGTTCTTTCATGGTTCTCCTCTTGGCCTTCTCTCCAGCCCCACAAGGTCTGAACATGCACCACACTGATGCAGTTAACAGCTCTAATTGAAGCCCCTTTGAAGCTGTGGATACACTGCAACATTTTGTTGTTTCCTTTAATGGCAGAAGAGGCAGGAGCAAGTTAGAGCCACCTACAGATCAAACATTTCTCCATGCCTACGAAACTAAAATATGCAGGTGTTTTTTTTTAAATTAAGTCCCTAAAGAAAGCCAAAAATTTCCTTTCCCCAAATAAGGTGGTAGCTGAGGCGGATGAATGCTGGCAGCCTTCACGATGAAAACCGTGTCTATGATTTTTCTTCTGCCTTACAAGTCCTCTGAGTCAGAAGGGGCTTGAGTACTAGGTCAGATAGATTTGTGCACTGATACCCCAGAAGGCTCAAAGGAAATGAAAGCACCCAGGTTTCAAGAGCCATTAAAGACTTGTTCAACAGAGCCTAGACAACACATCAGGCATATTTGGCCAACCTACAAGTTCATGCTCTGACTCAGGGCTGTTGGTTTGTGGGTGATCCCCAACCTCTCCCCAGGGAAAGAATTTGTGATTTTTTTTTGCAATCAGTCACAATGCTAAACAGTATCCTGGGACTGTTTAGCCCCTCCTGCTCGCAGAGGAAGCAATCAGGCTGTGAAAGCCATTACACTCAGTCCCAACAGCCCAGGTTTAAAAAAACAAACTACCACCCTCTGGGGTTATTGTGATGTATAAACTAGTGCAATTACACTTTAGGGCTGTAGCAACAGCAAGCTACTATCTGAGCACTAAAGCACAAAGTACAGAATTTGTATAATAGTTCTCATGTTGTGTCTAAGCAACACTAATTCATCACACCCCAACACAGAGCCTTCTGCCACTACAGCATACACACTTAGAATGTATACCTTATGAAAAAAGTTCCCTGAATGGAAAGCCTAAGGGAATGCAGAAAATGGACATTTAGGCATTAGGTACTACTGTACATGTATCAGCAGTTCATTAACATGCAGATGCACGAACAAATCAATGAAGTCAGGGAAGTGTTGGCAATGTGTACATCACAAAACAGAATAATAAGTCTTAATTTGATTGGTGGGACAAAATTATCATTTATTAATAATAATAATAATTCATTTATATACCATCTGTCATGAAATAAAAACAAATGTTTCTGTCACAGAAAAGCAAACACAACAACCTACACTAAATGGACAAGAAAAGCAGGTTGCTTACCTGTAACTGATGTTCTTCGAGTGGCCATCTGTGCATTCACACATATGGGTTGCTGCGCCTGCGCAGTGCCTCGGCCGGAAGATTAGAAAGCTAACGGTTTTTGGCGGAAAAACTCCGCTCCGCTCCCCTCCCCCGTGGTATAAATAGAGCGGAGTGTCCGTCATTTTACTCAGTCTTGAAGACCGCACGTTCGCCCTCTAGAGGTTAAGAATAAAAGTAATGAGAAAATACAATTATATCCAAACAGTACCGATGTGAATTATAGTATGGTACCGAGAACAATATCTAGTCAGCGATATAACCCAACGGTACCGATGCAAATTATATTTCGGTACCAATTAATAGTACGGTACTGAGAAAAACGGGATCCACTCACTGACACCGAGTGGGGCCGGCGGGTGGGTTATGTGAATGCACAGATCGCCACTCGAAGAACATCAGTTACAGGTAAGCAACCTGCTTTTCTTCGTCGTGGCCTCTGTGCATCACACATATGGGTGATTCGCAAGCTTACCACAGTCGGAGGAGGGAGGTGTCGTCAGCGAAGAACGGATGAGAGAACAGCTCTACCAAAAGAGCAGTCTTGTCTGGCACGTACATCAAGCCGATAGCGCTTCGCGAAAGTACATGGACCAGCCCAGATCGCAGCTCTGCAGATGTCTTGCACCGAAACCCCTGCGGCAAAAGTGGACGAGGTCGCTACTGCTCGTGTAGAGTGGCCACTTGGAAAGACAGATAAATCTATTTTCGATAGCTGATAAGCCAGGACAATAGTCTGGATGATCCAATTAGAGAGTCTCTGAGATGATATCGGTGATCCCTTTTCACGCTCGGAGTATTTAACAAAAAGTCTATTAGTAGTACGAAAAGATTCAGTGCGGGATCTGTAAAAGGCCAAGCAACGGCGAACATCAAGCGTGTGCAGAGCACGTTCTACCGGGGTCAACGGCAATGGAAAGAATGCCGGCAGAACGATGTCCTGATTCAGGTGGAACGGTGTGGCCACCTTGGGTAAAAAGGAGAAATCCATCCGAAGGACAGCTTTTTCCTTATGGAAGTTCAGAAATGGTGGGTCTATGCAGAGAGCACAAATTTCGCTAACTCT